AAGAGACAATCTCGTAGTGCTCCTCCTTCCCCTTGGAGGGACTTATCGGGTCTTTCCAGCAATCAACCTTAGCTGGCCCATGTTGATCAGCGGCGCCAGCGAGGCCACGATAGAGAACCAGAGAGGCGAATCTAGCGGCTGAGCCGGGAGATGATAGCCGAGCAAAGGTTGTAGCTCGGCACGCCATCATTGCAGCCAATGAAGTAGCCATGGCTCTGTGTTTTCTTTCCAAGAGTGAATGGTGTACGAGTGCGTCAGTTGAGGAGAGGGATTGATTAAGATTGGATTTTAGGTTTAGGGCGTATTAATTACGGGTTGAATGATTTAATTAGTTTTAAAAGGGTATTATTCAATTTAGTTAGTTTAATAGGGCATTAGGCCTAATTTTCCCTTTCGAAAAAGTAAATCAAGCTTAGCTCTTGTTTGGGCTATATTTTATCCAAAATACATTTTTTTCTTATCTTTTTAATCACGTACTTTTTAATAAAATAATATTACACGTAAATATAAATTTTTTTTTCTTTTTTTAATCCACGTTTTTTAAAAAATCATTATTTGGAAAAATATATATATTTTTCCAAAACATATTTTAATGGAGCCCAAACATGGTTTAATTTTAAGTTAATTATCACGTCAAAGATTTTTGCAAATTATTTATGGAAAAAGTTTGACGCAGTCTTTGTGGAGTCGGTTGTTCTTTTTTCCACCAACACCCAATAAATTAATTAGAAAATAAAAAAAATATATACATACACAATCGTACAATGGTAAATACGCTATGAAGTGACGAACACTTGATTCTTCCTCGATCATGGACGACAGTTTCCAAATCGAAGCCACCTCCAATCGCAGCTTCAACGGCGGCGGAGTTGATGACGAGGACGGAGAAGAAGAAGCGGGCTGCGACGTGGAAGCATGGGAGATTTTGAGCAAGGCCTTCAAGGAGGTACAAACTGTGTTAAATCACAACCGTGTTTTGATTCAACAGGTGAACGAGAATCACCAGTCGAAGATTCCTGATAATTTGGCGAAAAATGTTGATTTGATCAAAGAAATCAATGGAAATATATTCAAAGTACTCGGTCTTTACTCGAATCTGTCTTCGAATTTCTCCAGCGTCATCAGACAGCGGCTGGTAATTACCTCTGCTGTTGGGAAGAATTTCAGCGAAGAAAATGATAGCAACAAAGCTTTGGAGGACGTTGAATCTTGAAATGACCGATTCCATATTCCTGTAACTTTCTACAACCTTTTAATTTAAGTAAGATCTAGATGTGTTTGCTTGTGCGTGCGATTGTGATTTTAGTGGTGATTTTCCTTGGGTCAGTTTAGTGTATCCGAATAAAATTTGATTTTAGCTGTATGGACTCGTTGAGTCTGTTATCATGATACTTCGCATGGATTATGTGGTATTTAACTACATCGATTGTGATTGTGATTTTCCTTGGGACAGTTTGGCGTGTCATAATAGAATTTCAGTTAGCTGTGCCAACTGGTATCTCAACGAGTCAATTATCATGATTATTCTTACGGATTATGTGGTATTTCATCTCAGTACATTTCGAATTGGTGATGGTGGAGATTTGATGATTATAACGCTCATGTAGTTTTTCTGTTTATCTTGTGTTGCCTATCTTAAGGATTGATGATTGATTTATGAGCTGCGGGACTACCTTTTAACTACAGTGATTGAATGATGCCCGCAGACGAAATGAGGTAATTTTTACTTTATTTGCTTTAGGTTTCTGTAAGTTTTTTTATAATTTGTGGGATAGTGGTATATGGCAAGGTATTTCATAGTTTCATTAGGATAACATATAAGGTATTTTACTTGAGATTCTTTATAATCGTGTGTCTGTCTCTTTTTGCTTCAGTTTCTTATAAGATATACTAGGCTAAGGTTATATATCTTTGCATAACGTTGAAAGCTTCAAATTATGAATAGGCAAATGACATTTTTGAGTTGCAGCGTGAGTTTACTTTAACCCTTCCTTTTTTTTTTTTAATTGTATGAGATCCCAGGTCAAATTTTCCTGGAAGACGCTTCCATAGTAAGTTGTTTCGTACATTCTTTTAAAACCAATATCTGCTACTTTGTTAAGTAAAACTTTTGGTTCATATTGAAACGCTGGATGAAATCGGTAACAGCCATGTGATTGTCCTCACATATGGGTGAGAGACAAGTCGTATTTCATGGCATATCACCGAACTAAGGCTTGCCTCACCTCACCATACTGGAGGGGATTGCAATATTACGGTTAGAGTAAGATAGTGACCCCTAACCATCTCACAAATAAGATTTAATGGTTATTTTTGTCAAGTGTTGCCAGTAAAGGCAGAGATATAGGATTTGTATGGGGTATTTATGTATACAAAGATTCATATATGCATATATAGGAGTGATGTTAGCCAACCTTGAGGTTTTCTGGATTTGTAGGAATTTATATTGGGTGTTGAATGGGTAAAGGTTGAAGATTTTGTGAAGTTTCTTTTGGGCTATTGATATTTCAGCTTGTTGTTGGGCTAATATTTTGGGCTGTCAAGTCTTAGTAATTTAGTATATTGTTGGGCTGTTATTTTTGACTTTATTATTGCATTGGGCTATTAAGTCTTTGATCTCAGCCTGCTGTTGAGCTTGCTGTTAGGGTCATATTTTGGACAATTATTGTTGCTTTGGACTATTGTTGGTTGTTGGGCTGTAGCTTTGTTGGGTTGTATTGTTATAACTCAATTTAATTTTTTGGCTACTATTGGTGATCATGGGCTGTTGAGCTGCCCACTATGTTTTTCAGGACTTTCTAAAAACAAAAGGGATTCTTTCTTAACGTCCGTGTCCTTTGTAGGAAACCGTATCAATTAAAGCTATTATTTTTAGTTAATTGGAAATTTGTAATTTCTTTCTGTAGTTAGCAGATTATTTTCCTTTCCATAGCCACCTTGTGTAATATAAATAGATTGTAGTAGATCTCTTGTAATTACAACTTTGTTCAATAAGAATACTCGTTTCTTCATCCTTGTACTCTCCAACATAATGGTAACGTAAGAATCGTCACATCCTGGATGCCCGTACCTTACTGATTCAATCTACTGTACCTTCCAAGTTCTAGGTCGAAGCTTTATCTATGGCTGTATATTTGATTAATCATTTGCCTTCTCGAACTTTGGACTATGACTCCCCCTAATTTCGGTTGCTTGGTGATATTCATGACTATCATTCTTTACATACTTTTGGTTGTGTCTGCTTTGTTCATTTGCCAATCACTCAACGTCACAAGCTTACAGCTAAATCCGCTCAATGTGCTTTCATGGGATATAGTCCTACACATAAGGGGTTTATATGTTACAATGTGAATGCTAATAAGCTACATCTCTCTAAATATGGTTTTCTTCGAAAACTAATATTTTTTCCAGTCGCGTAACTCCCGACTCCACTTCTGTCATTCTTCCTGCTTTTGATGTTGAGCCTTACCATATTGAATGTTTTAAACCAGGAATTGTGTATCAAAGACGTCCCCTACTGCCTTCAGCGCCCGATCTCAAACTCACTTGACCCCGAACCAGCTCCCGTTGTTCAGAGCCTGAACTTCAACGCTCCAATCGTCTCTCGTCCTCCAGATAAGTATAGTTTCTCACATACTTCACTCCAGGCCACAATTGATACTTCTTTCCTAAAATCACACTCTCAGGCCGCTTGTCAAGCATGCTAGAAGCAAGCTATGAATGAAGAACTTCAGGCTCTTCAAGATAATTATACTTGGGACATTGTTCGCTGTCCAGATGGGGTGCACAAAGAAGTTACGTCCTGATGGTTCCTTAGAACGACACAAGGCACGTCTTGTAGCACCTGGCAACAGATAGGAGTATGGGCTTGACTATAAGGAGACTTTAGCACCGGTAGCTAAATGACTACAGTACCAACTATCATTGCCATTGCTGCATCTCAAGGATGATCTCTTTGACAGATGGATGTTAAGAATGCTTTTCTACATGGAGATCTGGAAGAAGAAGTATACATGACTCCTTCTCTTGGCCTGTTCACCCATTCCTCCTCTTTGAGGTTTGCCGTTTGAAACGATCACTATATGGGTTAAATCAGGCACCTCGAGCATGGTTTGCAAAATTTTGCAACACTCTACTTGATTTTACTTTTATCCAGAGTTAATTTGATTCATCTCTCTTCCTTAGAAAGACTACTATTAGGATTGTGATTTTCTAGTGTATGTGGATGATATTGTCATTACAGGTTTTGATCTACAGATAATTGAGGAAGTACAACGGCATCTTTGAAATTCCTTTCACACGAAAGATCTTGGCCCATTGCAGTATTTTCTTGGTCTTGAAGTACACACAATTCTACACGCACGTTATTACATCAGCACAAATATACATGAGACATTATTGGTTCCACTGGGCTTTAGTCAAGCAACCTGGTTCACATATCTATGGAGGTAAATTTGAAGCTTTGATAAACAGAGAGAGAACTTTTAGCCGATACTTCACTCTATCGACAATTGGTAAGGAGTTTGAATTATTTGACTATTATTAGGCCTGATATATCTTTTGCAGTCCATCTAGTCGGTTTATGTAGGCTCCTAGACATTTTCACCTAGCCGTCGTGCGACGTATTCTTCGTTATCTAAAGGGTACATTTTGTCGAGGTTTATTCTTTCCTACTAGGACCTCTCTACAGTTGGCTGGTTTTACCGATGTTAATTGGGCTGGTTGGACAAATACTCGACGTTCGATTACGGGTTGGTGCACGTTTCTTGGTGATACCCTTATCTCTTAGAAAAGTAAGAAGCAAGATCGTGTCTCGAAGTCTTCCATCGAGCCTTAATATCGGGCTATGTCCTCCGCCTGCTCTGAGATTGTGATCTTCGAGGCCTGCTGGATAAACTCGGTTTTCCATATCTTACTCCGATTCCCTTCATGTTGACAACACAAGCGTTGTTCAGATTTTTGCTAATTCGGTATTTCATGAGCGTACCAAGCATATTGAAGTTGATTATCATTCCATTCGAGAAGCATTTGATCAACAAGTGATTACACTTCCTCACATATCTACAGATCTTCAAACCACTGACATTCACCAAAGCTCTTGGTCGCCTTCGACATCAGTTCATTGTTGACAAATTGATGCTTATTGATCGACCAACATCAATTTGACGGGGATGTTAGTGTATCACAAATTATTAACCATACCATGTATAT